TCAAATCTTCAATTCTCACTCTACTCATCCTCAAACCTTGACTATGGCCCAAAGCCATCAGTGCACTAGCGTAGACATCCCATTTTGATCGGTCTTAAGATTTTAATACTTTCTTTTGATTACTCAATTATAACAATTAGAATATATTTTTCATAGAATCCTCAGTGAAAAAGATGGAATTTGAACTTTAATCACAACCTTTACCATTATAGCCAAATTGTTTTAAAATACTAAATATTTCATTAGTTTAGTATTTTTGTAATTTTGCATAATGTTATGTGCTTGTTCATATTTTTTGTGTTTTTATATAAATTGGTATAAATTATATATTTTATATATAGAAAATAAAATAATAAAAAGTTATTTTATTATATTATATGTTTAGTATTTTGGTATAAATTATATATTTTAGATATTTTATATATTATATTATATATATATATATATATATTATAAAAGAAACATAATAAAAAAATTGTCCAAATCTATAAACATAACATATATATAAGATATTTTTATATAATTTCTATATTACAATCTTTATATTATTATATTATACTTTTTGTTTATATAAGGGCAAAGAGGGAGAGGCTCAAGAGGAAAAAAAAAAAAAGAAAAGGCGGGCTAATCATGGAGAGAAAAATGAAGTGGTGCGAGAGAGTTTGAGAGAAAAAGAATCAGAAAGAAAGAAAATTAATTTTTTTTTTAGAGAGAGAGAGGAAAAATAAAATATTTTCTTTGATATTTTTATTTCCATTTCATCAATACACCATTCAAAAACCAACTACTAAAGCTGTAATTCCAAATTTTGAACTGAGAATTGAGAACACATTCCACAGACTTGAGAGTAATTAAAAGAAAGTTTGTGACTCAGAAAATTCATCATTTTCCCAGAATGTGAGTTTTCGTAAATTTTCATTTAATTTAAAAATGTTATATAATTTGTTTAAATACTTCATTTACTTCTTTTCATAACTATTTTTTTTATCGCTTTAATGGGAAGGCTACACCACTCACATATTTTCGATAATTCAATTATTGTATATAAATTGTTATAGTTTATTACTTTAAATAATTTACCTCACTGGATGAATAGTAACCTTTGGCGGTGAATAGTAACTTCCGGCGGTGAATAGTACCCCTGACGATGAATAGTACATCTGGCAATTAATAGTAACCTCCGTCAGTGAATAGTAAAAGTGGTAGGTTTCTCTCGAATTCTTTTTGGGCTATTTTTCAACATCTAAACTATGTGATTTGAAGTTGTAAAAGTGGAGAGGTTAACCACCCTTCCTTCTACTTGTTTACTAACTTGATTCTATTTAATTTTGTTCGCTTTCTATAGCTTAATTTCAACACTATTGTATGTTATTTAGGAGGCTGTTTAATTTATTTCAACTATTTATGTTTTAAATATCAAGTTTGTTTGTACTAACCAATTAATCAACTTCACATAATCATCTCTGCAACCTCCCTCCATTCTTTGCTTATTTCGATTAAAAAGTTGTGAAAAATTAAGATTGTGGTTCAAGTATAAAAAATGAACTCTTCCATACTTAATGGTTTAATATCTTCGGAGGTTCATTACCAAAGGTATAAAGTACTCTATGCTTAATGGTTTAATCTCTTTGGAGATTCACTACCACAGGCATAAAACGTTTTATGCTTAGGAGGTTCATTACCAAAGGTATAAAACGTTCTATGTTTAATGGTTTAATCTCTTTGGAGATTCATTACCAAAGGCATAAAACGTTTCATGCTTAGGAGGTTCATTACCAAAAGTATACAACGCTCTATGCTTACTGATTTAATCTCTTAGGGGATTTACTACTAAAGGCATAAAACGTTCTATACTTAACGGTTTAAATTTTTTGGAGGTTCGCTACCCTAAATGTATACATGTTCTTATACTAAAGCACAATTTTTTATTTTTAATTTCTCTTTATTCATCATTGTGTTTACTTTTAAGGGACTAATTGACCCTTGGAAATCACCAAGGAAAATGTCATTATCACTCATTATCAAGTTTGGATTTCAAGTCATTATCACTCAAGTTTGGGTTTTTCTAAGTCATTATCACTCTTTTGAGCTTGACTAGTCATTGTTGCACATCTTGAGTTTGAATTGGAATCTCTTATCGCTTGTAAACAAGTTTGACTATTCCTTTGTAATTTCCCCTGAAGATAATACAATTGTTTCTCGGGTTAAGTTGATGTTTGTTTCTCTTTATTGTGTTTTTGACTTAGTGGACATAAATATCACTTTTGCACAAACAGGAGAAAAGATAAATAAATTGGAAGGTAATAAAAAAAAGTTAATAAAATTGATTAAAATTGGATTACAACCGACATAAAGAGTCAATATGATTAATTGAATTCGGTCGGACATTATACCAAGTTTATTGTGTCAAGGCTTGTCTTACATCAATTCGTGATATTTTGATGAACCTTGAAGCGTCTTTACTTCCCTTCTTGAATTCACTTAATGATAAGAGGGAGGGGTGGTTGTTTATTCATTGTATTTATTAATCATTGTCCAAATTGTATTTGAGATCATCAAGTAATCAACTTGCTAATTGATGGTTTTGGAGATGATTACAACCATCTCTTGAGTATTTTTATGATAGAGAATGGTAAAAACAAAGACAAACATGGCTAGGAATACCCTGTCTGCACTGTTTCACCTTAGATACAAAAAACAAATTTCCACAAGAAAACAAAGTATTGGATTTATTTAGGGCTCGACTGAGTCGCGTTTCGGGGTCGGCAATGCTCCAATAAATTGCAAAACAATACACTTTTCGAAAGTAGTAACTAGGGGTGAAACTAAACAAATCCCAGCGAGGCAGACAGAATAACTCCTGAGGAGCATCGAGCAATCGTTACATATTATTATTGTAATAAATTAGACAGTTCCTTTCATTTATTAGTCATTCGGCTTTGTAATAATTATTTATTCGGACACTTGGACATTCAGACCCTCATTCGCGAGGACAAATATGTAATACGTTGTATGTCTTCCAACCTCCATTCTTTCTCCCTTTTATTTCACTGCTTATGATGGTTAGATTAGGGATATCATGTTTAATTAGCATTTTTTATGATTTGCATCCATTCGTTTACATGCATAAAAGTTCGGCTCATCATATTATTCAAATGTCAAATTCAAACTCCTTACTTGCATATATGCGCTATAACATGCCTTGAATTGACTCACATGTCATACTAGTAGCCGAACCTTAATTGCACGTTGCATGTGTTGCATTAGTCATTAAATTAGGATCGTGCATTTTTTTTCTAACTACTTGTTTTCTTTTTGGACTCGTCTTCGAACATTAAGGTAAGCATTTTTGCTTTAGTGTATTGCATAAGTGTGAATGCTGTCATATCAAAACATACTACCATGAGGCTAATTGCTTATTTGATATACCTGTTTGAATGCCTGTGGATGAAGGCTAATCACTTGAACTGGAATACTTTAATTCATGTATATATGAGATCACCATTTTCAGTGATACATATTCAAAATATTTTTTTCCAAACGTTCCAACTTTTCGTGAAATTATTCTATACTTGTATGTTACATATAGAGCAAGAGCATATACTGTACATAAAAATCACAGCATGATTAGTAGAGGCCAATCTTTGATCGGGTGAATGGGGTGTTCAATTATTGACCTTCCTCTCTCATACCTTAGTTCCCGAACCAAGACACTTTGGTAACGACGGACTAATGGCCTTTGGCATGAGTCACGGGTTTCCTAAATTTCTTCAAAATAAATATTTAGGCGGCGACTCTGAAATCTGGCAAAGCAGTCCATTTTTGGCATTTGATTCAAACATCGATTTTTCAAAAGAAATTGCCGGATTTGGACTTTTTTTGTGTTTCCATTGTTTCACATTACACTTGTGAAATCAAAATCAGAACCAACACAAGTAGAATCCGAACTGTAAAGGCTATTTCATTCTTTCGAAAGGGAGAGCAAAAAGCTGAGCTACAACTAGCAAGACACAAGAAGATGAATAAGGTGTTCAGCTACTTTGACGCCAATGGTGATAGAATTTGTATTCGTCATGAAAGCTCTCGAATTTGGCACTCCGGAAGAGAAAGTGAATTGGGTGGAAGAGCTCAACACTTATCACAATAGCTTCATCAACCTTAAAGAGTTCACCAATTTATGCGGTGGCAACATCACCGGAGCCAATGGCAATTTGAAAGAGCTGAAGGATGCCTTCGAGCTCTACAATTAGGACAAGAATGGACTCATCTCCACCGCTGAGCTCCACTAAATCTTGCACCTCCTTAGTGAAAAGTGCTCTATCGAGGACTATGGTATAATGACTAAGTTTGTCAATTTAGACCGCAATGGATTCGTCAATTTTGAGCTTAGTTTGTTTTATTTGTACAAATAGATTCAATTTGGACAAAAACAAGTTTGGCAAAAATTCATTTCACTCATCACTCCACATGACAAGTTTGTTTGAAATTTCAACCCACACAATTTTTACTTTTTTTTGAGGATTACGAACTCATAAATTTGTAGCTAAAATTTATTCAAAGATAATAATCCGTAGTTAAATTTCATTTCACTCATAAATTTCTCACTTCATAAATTTAATATCCTTTGCATACAATGACTCTTGACAAATTGTGAATCATGAATCTTGATTCCTAACTTTTTTGTGTTTTGATTTTTATTTTAATTTTTTAATTTGAACAAAAAAAAATCCAAACCAAACACTACATACATATGAACCAATAGTAACAATTTTCTTTCGGTAGGGAAGATAATTTTGAAAAGTTTATTCTGAAATATTTAAAAAATTAGAAATTAATTAAAAAAATAAAACATACAAAATATATTTTTAAAAATTACTCCCAACCTAAAAAAATAATGAGTATTTAATTATTAAAAAAAAAAAAAAATCAAATTACTAGTTTAAAAAAAAAAAAATCTGAAAATGTCTTTGTGGCTGTAATCATTCCTGGAAAAATCAGATTAAAACTGTCAGTTGGGACCTCCCTCTCTTCAGTCTCCACCAACCGTCACACTGTCCAATATTCTCACCTCAGCCATCGCGCCGCCGCACTGTCCCTTCACCGTCGACAATCCACATTCTCCACCACCATGAAACCCCCTAGACTCTTATCTGCAAGGCCAACCAACACATTTTTCATAACCACCTCAAAATTGGCTCCAAATGCGAGAAGGGTTTGTGAGTTCGGGCAATCTGGGGTCAGATTTCCGGCGACAATGACTACCAGATCTAGACCCAACACCCTCTCTTCTGTGCGCTCTCTGTCACAGGCCATCGAGCCAGACACTGGGTCTGGTCCTGCCGCGGGTTTCCCCGGGAAGTTGCAAGAATTTGAGGAGAACATAGAGAAGGTACAAAATTTAATTTCATACTTAAATTTAAATATTTAGTTCTAAAGTTGATAATTTCAATTAGGCCAAGTTTGGCATATGAGAAATCCATCTTTTTTTTTTTTTTTTTTTTTCGTCACATGAACTATTTCTTTTTCTACACATCTTTTTACCAAATAATCTTAGTGTAGTATAATGGTTAAAGCCTGTTTGATGGGTTAAAATTTAAATAATTTAAATCATACCACCAAACACTTATAAGTTGTTTAATGTAGTGTAGTTAAGAAAATTGGTGTTTCGTTATAAAGTTTAGATTGTCCAAACTATAAAATTACTTTCTTGGCCCATTAAGTTGGGTTTCTCACCATTACTTATTTGGAAATTTTAATCTTAAGGATTAAATAGATGAAATTGATAGTTTGAATATATAAAATAAAAAATATGACAATACTATATGAGATAAAATGGAATTAACCTAAATTTCTAAGGTAGTAGACATTACTTTTTTTTTTTCTTCCTGGAATAGTGAAATTTGTTGTTTGTATACAGGCTATTTACAGGTGCCGGTTCTTGGCAATTTTTGCAGTTTGGGGGTCTTTGGTTGGGTCTTTCCTGTGTTTCATCAAGGTATTATTGTTAATTTTACATTGTTTCATTTCAATTATGATCATTGATTATGGTAGAAAAAAGTAAAATGTAGAATTTGAGTTATCCAGAACAAATGTTGAGTTGAACTACCACTTGGAGAGGTTTGCGGCAGGGGGATCCATTGTCTCCATTATTGTTTATTCTGGTGATGGAGGCTCTTAGTCGGTTGTTGTGCAGAGCGGTCTGGGGGTTTGTTGTCAGGTTTTGAGGTGGGGACAGGGCCTGCTCCTGTGGTGGTTTCTCATCTCTTTTATGCTGATGATGCACTCATTTTTTGTGATGTGGATGCGGTTCAGATTGGTCATTTATGATGTATGTTGTTGTGTTTTGAGACGGTGTTAGGGCTTCAAGTTAATTTGGCAAAGTCAGAATTGATTCCCGTGGGTGAGGTGGTGCGATTTCCAGTGTTGGCAGCTATCTTGGGTTGCAAGGTGACTCAGTTACCAGTTTCTTATTTGGGACTTCCTTTGGGGGCTACTTGTAAGGCAAAAGGGGTGTGGTATGGGGTGGTAGATAGAGTGCAACAAAGATTGGCGTGGTGGAGGCGACATTATTTGTCTAACGGAGGGCGGCTAACGTTGATTAAGAGTGTTTTCTCTAGTATCCTGACGTACTTTATGTTGTTGCATGTGATTCCTGTGACGATCACTAGGCGTTTGGAGCAACTGCAGTGGGACTTTTTGTGAGGCAGTGGAGGGGAGGGGTTTTCATTACCATTTGGTGGCGTGGGAGAGGATTTGTACTCCTAAGGCGAGGGGGGGCTTGGGTGTGAGGAGGTTAGTGGTGTTTAACCGGACTCTTTTGGGGAAATGGTTATGGCGTTTTGCTGAGGAGAGGGAGTGGTTGTGGAGGAGGGTGGTGGCGGCGAAGTATGGGGTGAAAAGAGGGGGTTGGTGCTCCAAGGGGGTGGTCCAATCTCATGGCCACGGTTTGTGGAAGGGGATTTGGTTGGGGTGGAAGGAATTTTGGGATAGGACACGAGGGTAGGGGATAGGACTTGCTTTTGGTAGGATCGGTGCTGCAACGAGGTGCCTTTGGCGAGTATGTTCTCTATGATTTATGCTATTGCTGCTGATGGGGAGGAGGTGGTTGCATCCATTAGAGTTAGGCAGGTGCAGGTGCAGGTGCAGGTGTTGGTTTGGAATATTCATCTTTGTCGTGATGTGCAAGATTGGGAGTTGGATCAACTGGTGGACCTTCTGAGCTTTTTGTATGGTGTGAGGGATGGGGGGGATGGAGAGGATTCTTTGGTGTGGGATTGTCTGAGATTGAAAAGGATTTTTTTCAGTGTCTTCTTTTTATGGTGTGCTTGTGGGGGGTAGTGTGGTTGTGTTTCCATGGAAGAGCATTTGGGCGACGGGATCACCGTCTAAGGTTGCTTTCTTTGTTTGCACAGTTGCTTTGGGACAGATTTTGACTATTGACAATTTGATTCGGCAATGGCATGTTTTGGTTAACTGGTGTTGCATGTGCTGTAGGGATCCTGACTTTGGAGTTTTATTGTTGCATTGTTTGGTTTGGTTTGGGTGCAACTGGGGTTGGTGCTGAGTGTGTTACAAAGTTGGGGTGGGGCTAGGGTGGGGAAGAGGCGTCAGAAGGCCTGGATTTTTGCTTCCCATTGTTTGTTTTGGTTGGTGTGGTTGGAGTGGAATAGGCGTGTTTTTCAGGATGAGTGTCATTTCTTTTCATGCTTAGAGAATCGGTTGTTGATGGTGTTGCATAGTTGGGTTACGGGTTCGGTTGATCCAAATGTTTTGGTTTTTGTACATTTTGTGGAGGATTTGATTAGTTAGTTTTGTTTGGGCTTTTGTGGATTGTTTTTGTATTCTTTGCATCGTCTTGATGCCTTTCTAATAAATTTGTACATTTATTTATCAAAAAAAAAAAAGAAAAAAAGAAAAAAAAAGGGCCTTTGGAAGGTTGTTTGGTAATTAGCTCCACAAGACAATGTTAATTGGGAGGTGGAGTCCATTGGGGCTTTCTTGGGGGTGCTGTTATGAGCCGGGGTTGAGTACGTTCTGGTTTGGAGAGGGGCTAGGGTTTGGTAGCCAAAGACCCACCCAGAGTGGCTTTCTTTGCATGGATAGTAGCCTGGGTAGCTATATTGACCACAAATAATTCGAGGAGGGTAAGAGGGAGGGGGAGGGGGAGAGTGTAAATCACCTTTGAATGGAGAAATTCTTAGAGACCAATAACCTTTGATGACTAAGAGGTACAAAAGTAGTCTAACATGTGTTAGTTATGGGATACACTTGCAGTTTTTGAGACATTAAAACAAAATCTCTAGCAAGTAGCAATTGTTGGAAAGGAATCTCTCACATTCTCTTGCCTACTTCTGATTTTTCTCCTCCTTTGCTTCTCTTTTTGTTATTCAGCCTACATATTTTACAATTTGAAAGTAAAGCTTCAATCTTGATAAATGGTTGAATATAATAAATATATAAATTGTTTTCTAAAAATTGCAGTAAGGTACTAGATTGTTTCTGATCTTAGATGAGAGATCCCACTCTTAAATTACCAGATTTTCTGCAAAAATATGGATTTGAAGAAACCATTATAGTTATACTACACATTTTATGTGAGGGTATTCTTGAATGGCAGAAACATCTATGGTGTATACAAGATTAATTAACATTATTCTTTGCGGCATGCAGGGCAGCACTTATGTTGTGGAATCTTTCAAACAGTACCTTGTGAACCGGGTGAAGGTGATTTTCTTGCTGGTTGAGTCCATTGGTGGGTTTATGAACCGTTCTCTACATTCGTCCTACTCCCTTTATTTATTGTTTCTCTCTTTTTAAACATTTAAATGCTAATTTTTTAATTTATGGGAAAAAGTAAAGTGTTTTGACAATACTATTTTTCACTTTTGACAATACTATTGTTTCTGTTGTGCACTTAAATTTTTTTTAGCGACAAAATATAGTTCCACAATATGAAGGAACATCCTTTAGTTATTGTCAAAATTGATTGTCCCAAAATGAACTCCCACTTGATGATTTCTTCAATGGAATATATATACAAGAGGCAACTAAATTGCAACTAACTCAAGATATTAATAGAATCCCATATTAGTGTGACAGTTTTATATCTTGGTAGATTTTGAGTTCCATGTTAAATCAAGTCTTGCTTGACAGACCTACCCCAAAAAAAAAAAGTCTTGCATGATACGGCAGCTATTCCATACAAGATGATGATAATACTGTGATGGAAATACAGTTCCATTGATATAAAATTGTGTTGATAGCAACTAGTTATTTTAATCATCTGTAAATGTATTTGTGCCGAGAATTATCGCCTGATGAGAAAGCATGGATGTAGTGGAGTCATGGAGAGCTTCTCAAGTGTAGTGTGAGGGACTGAAATGTTAACCTAGAGTTTGTATAAGAACCAGGCAACGAGCTGTGCTTATTGCACAAGAAACTTCAGCTGTTGAAAATGATCATGTTCAAAAAAAAAAAATATATATATATATATATAATGAGGAGATATATAGATGGATGAGTGAAATTATATTGATTTAGATGGACATGTTCATTAGAAAGTGGTTGGGACCAAAGATTGATACGAAGTTGGCTTAGATGGTTTGACGATGAGGAACATAACAAATAAATAAAATAATGCATTTGTTGTAAGGTTGAGGTATATGGTAAGTGTTGAAAATCTGTTCAAAGAGCGAAGTAATTCACAAAGTGTATGAAGAATGAAAATGAAGAATGAGAGTGTGTGTTTATTGTAAAGGGGGACACTTATGTAAAGCTAAAGATGTTGCAAACCCCAACCTTAGAAGCATGGATACACACACGGGACATAGATACAACATGATACAAAAATTCCAGTGTGGCAAATTTCAAAAGCTCAGAACACGAACATGGTAGGGACATGGCAAGAATAATGATTTTTTATATATGTATCTTTGAAAATACAATATATATATATATAAATTTTTTACATAAGCATTAGATTGATCAAGGTGTTGGAAAGTTTACTTTAGCATTGGCTTTTTCTTCTTGTTTACTTTTCATAAGGTGGCGTTGCAAATGCAAGCTCTTCATTCATTTTAACATTGCCATAAAGTTAATCAATATGCTAACTACAACCAAAATGATGTAAATCACATGGGAACCAAAACTTAGATGACATTACTGTTACTACCTAGAATGTCACTAACAATCTCCATATCCAACTTAAACAACGCAAGTTCACTTCAATCTTCATAAATCTGAAATCTTCCCTATTATTTGCTTTTTCATCTATAATTTGAAGACAACTGTCAATCTTTGTCAAAGTTGCTAATTATCATTTTATTTCACTTCCAGATGTTTATCTTTTGGGGACTGTGATGTTGGTCTTTGGCATGGGTCTCTATGAACTCTTCATCAGTACTCTTGAAATTGCCAAGTTAGAGTCGGAGGAAAATATTCCATACAGATCAAATCTTTTTGGCCTCTTCGCTCTAAAGGTCAGTCAGAGTCTTTGTAAGCTGCCTAATCTTTACAATGCAGCAAGCGAAGTTGGTCTAACTGTAGCTCTTGGTAGTCTAACCCAAATCTCTGTGGATTTCGTTACTATGAGTCTATGACATTTTATTGATGGTTATTCTTCAGAAGGGACACTCGGAAACCTTCTGAAAATGGAAAATTTATTCTTTTCACAGCTTTTATGTATTACTTTATTTTGAAAGCTGGTAGCATTTAAAAGAGTATGTTTTGTTTTATTTATCTTTGATGCTTTTGCACCGTTGAGATTGCAAGTTTGCTCTAGACTCCTTTTCATTGTGAGTTAGTTCAACTTTTACTTTAACGCTCCGTTGTTTCGGTGGAAAACATTTTTTATGAAAAGCTTTTCAGATTTACTATGTTTGGTTGCATTCTTGAAACTAATATATTAGTGGTTGTATAGTGGTGGTGGGGTGGTAGCGGTGGGATGGAGGAGGTGGTGGTGGTGGTGGTGGTGGGGGTAATGGTGGATGTGGTGGTAATGATAGTGGTGGCGGGAGTGGTAGTGTGATGGCGTTGGTAAGACTTTAGTCCAGAAAATATTTTCCACCTTTAAAAAGTTGAAACATTTTATGCCCAAATAAGCTTGTTTGGTGTTGACCATGGAAAACTTTTTTGGTCGACCTTCATTTGCCACTGTACCAAACACTAGAAAATGCAGAAAACATGCAAATGTGCTTTGAAATTCAAACAAATAGACCATAAATTTTGGAATTCAAACATATTAAGATGGAAATGTACCCCCCAAAAAATGCTATTATTTTGGTCTAATCTAACGCATAGCCACAAAATTGCTTTTTAATTTTGATATCTAACAAATATCTTCGTTCGGTGTTTAGTTTTATTTTATTTTATTTTTTGACAATTTCTGTTTTCTTATTCTTTTTGGCAAATTTTCAGGAACGGCCAAAATGGTTAGAAATAAAAACTATCAATGAGTTGAAAACCAAACTTGGGCATGTAATAGTGATGCTTCTTCTTATTGGGTTGCTTGACAAGAGTAAGAAGGCAGTTATACACTCTCCAGTGGATTTGCTTTGCTTCTCAGCTTCTGTATTACTTTCCTCTGGTTCCCTGTATCTTCTATCAAAGCTCAATGGCTCAAACTGATATCAAATACAGTCTAGGTAAGTATCTCGAAAACTATTGTGGGAAGTAATTAAGTGGTAGTGTATAATGAATGTGAACTGATGTGTATGTGATATATTATATAATGCATATACTAATACTATATATTGAGTCTTTGATCAGATTACATGTGCTTCATATTTGTGTCATGTAGCCTGGGCTCACTGAGCCCACTGGATAACATGTTTGGTTGTGATTTTGTTTTCTGTTTTTTGTTTTCTGGAAAATAGAGTAAATTTCTTGATTTGTATCATAGTTACGGAATAAGCACATCAACTGTTTCTAACCTACCAGAATAGCATTCTACTTAGTGGTTAAGTTGCTATGTAGCCCCTGTTTTTGTGTTCCGATACACCAATCCTAGCTCTATGTTCATAGCATAAAATCTTAGATTGTCGCTGCCAATCTAAAAATGTTTCCAAACAAGAATTATGGATTTCTGCTTTTAAGGGATGCCATTTTCTACGAAATAGGCTGCAAAAAAGACTTAAGTTGAGTTTGGTACCATGGAATTTATGCCTTAATTGGAAAGTGGCTGCATTATCAAAATTAATATGACGATGTAATTTAAGGGAAGGATCCATTTACAGCTGTGTAATAATTTTTACTAGAGGTGTGGGTACACACGATGTCAGTGTGAAGTAGTTAGACAAATAATGGCAGTTATTAAGTTTGAAGTTGTTAGATGTAAGTGGGGTAATTTGGCAATTAAATAAGGTACTTACATTAGGGCAATTACGGAAAGAGAAAAACTGTGACAAAGTGTTCACACCAACCGAGCTTGTACACTAGTGTAGATTCTTACCACATTTCATAACTTTTTGACATGCCTCATTTGCCCATTATTAGATTACACGTTGCCCTCATTCCTTTTTTGCTTGTCAAATTTCAAGTTAAGTGGATGTTGCATCTGACCACTTGCAATTTTATATATTTGATATCTCTAATTTTTTAGAGCTATAAATTGATAGAGATAACTAGCTCTCAATCTCCGATCTACTTAAATTTTTGCAAACCTGAAAATCACAACCGGAATATATAATCTAATGGTTAGTTTTGTAATAAGTGATATGTACGAAAAGTTACAGTAGGATATAAGAACAAAATTTATTACTAGTTGTAAACAATTCCCTCCCCTATGATTTTAACAACCTACTTATTGAGGTAACATGTACAAAAGAACAATTTCAGAATTATGACGTATGGCCAACTTGTTAGCATAATCAAGTTTTAGCTGATCGAATCTTACTTTTTAGAAGGGTTAAATACATTTTGCACCATTGCACTTTTCACTCTTTTGTGAGCTGCCATTATATAAATTGTTAGGAAAATGTCCATGTGGTGTGCTCTCTACAAGTGCCATACACGCGTTAAAGATTAGCAATGTTAACTAGAGTGCAAATTTACAAGGCTGACTTTTATAATTGAAAATGAAAAATGAATGTAAAATTTAAAGTAGACTGTATGGATGCATAGAGTATATAATCCATTTCAAAATATTAGAATTCTTGTTATTTATCAAATAAAATAAATAAATAAATAAATAAAATATATTAGAATTCTTGTTGGAGTATGTTCCACATCGCCTGGAGTTGCCGCATCTATGTTGGTTATGAGGCTCTAGTTTTCCTCTCCTTAATACTTGAGTTTTAAAAAGAAGTGTGAGCTGGCTTTTCAATTTGGTATCAGAGCTTGGTTGAACCTGTGACTATTGTGCCGTTTGTCCGGCTACTGTATATTGTGGTCCAGGATGGTGTGTTAGAATGTCCCACATCGCCTAGAGTTGCTTCATTTGTGTTAGTTACAAGGCTCTATTTCCCTATCCTATTTTAAGGAGAAGTGTGGGTTGAGCTTTTCAATTATTCTATCATGAGATGTTTACATCAAATGCAAATCCTGATTTTAATCAAAATCTGGAAGAGTCGTCCTTTCTACAGAATCCTTTGCACGAAGATTAACCAAACCAAACTAAGCGTGTGTCCTACTCAAGTGGGGTTAGCTACATAATCCTTTGTATGAAGAATGAACAAGTAAAAAGAATTGTGAATCCCATTGAAATCTTTGAGAAAAACCTGGCGCCTCGGAATTCAAAATAAAGGCAAAAGAGCCTAACCAACAGGCTAACCCTTTGGTAAGAATACCTACAGTTAAGTAAGAAATCAGGGATTCGAATCTTTTTACTTACGTAGAAGTTTTATTCTCTTTATACTTATTTAGAATTGTTTCTCTTATTTTAAATTTTATTTATAATAATGAGATAGTGCAACATTTGCAATTGTCAGCAACCTATTTCTGAGGCTGCTGCTCAGCTTTGTTTAACTTCAAAACCAATTGAAAGGCGACATTTTCTATGCAACTTATTGTGGGGTAGCATGGGAGACAAGACATCGATTAGATCATTACAGTTCTTAAAAAATCACCACTCTAATAAAATATTCATAGATTAACTTAGGACAGAGCTACTGATTACCCAAGATCAGATTCTCAATAAAGAAGCTTATCTGCATATATTTTAAGCCAATGTCAAGAAAAGAGAAAGTGGTGCACTATGTCTCAGGCACTTGGCAAAAAAAAAAACACAAAAGAAAAAAGGCACACTAGAGAGGTAGAGAGAAAGAGGCTTCAAGTTATTAGATGTACATGTAAATCAATGAAGTCATTAAAGAGGTCAATTAAAATTAGAAAAATGATTGTAGACCTAAATCTGAGTCGAAAGATAACTGTTGAAGGGTGACACAATGGGTCCCACCAATACCCAATGAGAGAGCTGACACGCAAGTCAGCTTTGGACCGAGTTTTAGCCCAAATAGCAGTGTTGTTAAAATCAAATTGACAGTTTATGGAGTAAATGCTTAAAGTTTTCATTTAATTTAGCTACTTAAAAAGAAAATACTCATAAACTGCATAATATGATGATCTGCTACATCAGTAATACACTAATTAATGTCATCAGCACAATTAATATCATTATGTTCAAACAACTAAAAAATGGTCAAACTACCAAATAACTCGAAATATACAAAATACATGGAGATAAATAAAGACTAAGAATAATTATCCGAGTAAATGGCTGTGGTTATATCAGCTAATGAGGATTATAATACCAACAAAATTGTAGGGTATGTTTGGTTTGTATTTGTAGAGTGATTTTGGGAAAAATTTGCTAAAAAACTTGTTTGGTTTGTAATTTTTCTAAAACAATTTTCAAAATCACTCTCTCTCTCTCTTACTCATCAATCAATCACTTTTTTTCTCTCCTCTCTCCTCTCTCGTCCTCAATCACTATTTCTCTCACACACATCTACTCAATTACAATAAAATATCAAATCATTCCAAACTCGCAAATTCTAAAACTACTTTCAAAATACACAACCAAACAAACCAAAAAAATTTCTAAACTCTCTCCCCAAAACAAATTTTCAAAACTACTCTCTCAAAACCAAACCAAACATACCCATACTCTGTCACATACAGTTATTTAGGATGGAATTTTACTACTTGCACATAATCCTTTCACAGAATGAATCACAACAAAGACAATCAATGAAACTCATATAAAAAAGATAATGGATGAGACCCTTTCTGTGTTGTGATCATTTTTGTGCAATTAGATTTTCTATTTAGGATGGTGTAATGTAAGTAGGTGGTCCTGATGTAGCCAAAAGTCAATCCAAGGTCAGGTGAATCTGACCAGGATGGGATAGTTGGTGTGTGGTCCTTACCTAGCTAAAAGTCAATCCACAAATGATTCTGAAGCTCTATATTGACATGAAAACAATAATCAACAATTCTCTTACTAACAAAACAATCATAAAACAATATCTACACAACAAAAAACAAAACTGCACGCCACTAGACTACCTTCATCCTTGAGAAATAAGTTTTACTTGGAAACCCTAATTAGTCGTCCTACAGGACTGGAGAGGACCCTCACAAAGGTGACTTTCATTTTTATTTTATGGTGCAATGGTGGCCTAAGCCAAAAAAGCCCAAACTAAAAAACCCGCCAGTAGGGTGTCTCCTGAGCAAGAAGCTGCTTTAGACACAAAAAAGGTAATTAATTTGAAACCTCACACGCAGCTAATGAGTAGTAAAGATAACATGGAAATCTATAATCTAGACACCCAATTGCCATCATGAAGCACCGGGTGGTTCTTCATGGCCAATGCCTGGGCTATGCCCGGGACTTGTTGGTCGGAAGGCTTCTGTTTCAGTCCTCTTGTACCGGTTTAACCTAAAACCGCCAATTGCCAGAGGTTTAGGCCTTCTCAAAGAGCCGTTAGGGACAGTTGGATGAAATTTTGGCAGATGTGAAGCCCCTATCAAGAAAAAGGGTTGTTGTATTAGGAGGAGAGTGACACAAAGACTTAGCACTCGGATTCTATGGTGTGAGGCCATTAAAAATGAGATTATAGGTTTTAGGAAGCTAAAGAAAAGTTTCTCAACTCATACACTATGTGAAGAAGTGAAAATTGATGTTTGTGAATCACTTAGACTGGTATTTAAGATGATTTTGAAGGTCCCACACATGACCTTGTTGGTTTTAAACAAGAACATAAAATGAAGAAGTGATGCACATGGTAGGGTTTTGAGATGTTAATGCAAAATAAAAAATGGAGAGTAGAAGCATGGGAATATTTTCCATTTTGGGTAGGGATAGCATTTCTTGACTCATTCCAATTCAAGCTGCTTTTCCACAGCCACTCATTGAAATTTTTGTACAACTCTTAAGGAAAGATCAGGGCTTGATTAGACACCACAAGTGAGAACAATTTGTTTTGCTTGGCATTTCTATTTTGTTTTAGTAGCTTGAGAGAGACTGAAGCTTGCTACAAAATACAATAACTAAGTTTGCTTTTTATAAGGAAAAATGCTTCTTCCACTAGCAATTTTTACAATGATATTTTCTTTATTTTAATTTCTTAGTTTTAGTTCAGTACATATGTAGGAGTAGAACATATGTTAAGTTCTTAGCTACAATGTTATTCTCAAGAGTCACTTAGCATGGAGAGGAATTCTTGTACATCAAAAAATTGGTTTTGATTCAATGTGTTTAGTGACAATCCCAATGACATTGTGTTGCAATTTGGTCATATTGAGTTGTAACTTTGATCACATTAAATAGTAAATTTAGAGAATGTGCACGTGCGTATCAAACACTGACCCTCAAGAAAGAACTGAGTAAGAAAACTTATTAAGGATTCATTTTATGTTAGAA